GGAGCTCCTTGAGGTAGCGCCTGCTGCCCCAGCCCTGCCCCCCTAAAGCCAGAGCCCCCTCCTACAGCCCCACCTTGGATCCCACATTCTAGTCACATGATGTTGGGTTGCGGCATCAACAATTTTCGTCAAGTGGGTCATGAGGAAAAGAGTTTGAAAACTGCTGAGCTAGACCACAGATTAATTTGCCCTATTCACTTCCTCAGTGTGGTGTAGCCGATGGCAGAATTTGGCTGATAATCTTTGTGTTGTATGGCACACTGCTAGATGGCTCAGTCTGACTTTGAGACACGGCCTCAAATCATTCCACAGAGAGAATGGGCTGAACAAGGGGGCTGGAACAATTTGTGTAATGTGGGTGCTAAGAGCCATTGAGCCAAACTAAACCCCGCACAGCACAGAAACCACCTCAAGCTCGTGGGTGTGGAAGCTCCCAGAGTACCTCTAGTTCCAACGCCTCCGGGGCGGAAAGCAAGACAGACGTGGGAGGGTTTTAAAGAGGAGAATGGAGGCTTGGAAGAACAGTGCTTGTCAAATGGAGTTTCAGGATGTGCTAAAGGGCTGCAATGCATTCTGGGAATTGGGAGGCTTGGAAGAACAGTGCTTGTCAAATGGTGTTTCAGGATGTGTTAAAGGGCTGCAGTGCATTCTGGGAATTGAAGAGGAGGCCATGAGAGAATGAGAAAAGAGATCAGGGAAGGTAGTAGGGTGTAGCAAGTCCATAGAATTGTGGGATTAGCCCCATGGGGACAGAGAAGTTTTCATACACGGTGAAACAAGAATCGTAGCGGCTCCAGGTGTGTGTGTGTGTGTTTCATTGTCTTTGATTCTATAACCAATTGCCTCTTTGAAGGAGCAACCAATCCTTCAAACATTCAGCCACATCCCTGGGTTAGGCTGGCTCGTGTTGGGGTCCTTTTATGAGCCGTGAAGCAAAAACGGGGTTGAGAACCGCCGCCCTCGGGAGCTGGAATCCAACCTGCTTGTTCGTTTTGATTGCGTCTCTAGAACCCGAAGCCAAATTCCAAGCGAAAGTGGCCCAGAAAGAACCGATCATTGTGCAGGAGCACGAGAACATCACACTGACCACTTCAGTAGTGCCCGCAACCGCCATAGTCAAGTGGTTCAAGGATGGAGCTGAGCTCACGGGGAGCAAGAAGTATGAGATCCAGGGCGACGGGGCCGCGAGGACGCTGACGGTGAAGCTGGCGGAGGCCAAAGACAGTGCTGTGTACGCCTGCAAGACAACAAGCGACAGGCAGGAGTTCCACGTGCAGGTGAAAGGTGAGAGAGAAATTCCCAGCAACGTCAAATGGCTCTTCCTTGGGGCTGGAGGCCAAGGGGATGAACTTGAAAATCACCCTCCCCTCGTCTTTGTCTCACAGCTGCTACTGTGTGGCCCGTACCGCCTGCTCGTGTGGGGAGGAAGGGGATGATCGCATGCCCCACTCTTCTGGCCAGCACGGGGTAGACATAAATTGTAGCAGGAGACGGGCTTAGCTTAAATTCTCCACGGAGCAAGCAGGGACAGGAACTTGGCTCTCAGCCACAGTTTGGCCCCTGTTGTGTCCCCAGGGCTGGGCTGCTGGATGCGTTCCTTTATTCAGGGCAGACTGTAGAAGATGACAATCTAGTGGTGGGGTAGTGCCGGGCCAGGAACAAATGGATTCTCCCATCTACCTCACGGGACAGAGTTGTGGTAATGATTTGTAGCTGGGGAGCTGAGGGGAGAGGGCTGGCTGCCCACGCCGGGGAGAGGAGGTCAGCGTCTGCTCCCCTTGTTACTTTAACCTCTGATGCTAAAGCACAATGGAGTGGGCAAGTTACTTTGTCTCTCTGTGCTTGACTTACACTAAGATCCACTCATGAGCAACCCCTCAGTCTGGCCACTGTCATTAAGCGATCACGGAAGGGAACCCTGGGATGTGCCAAATGTAATATACCGGGTTGGTCTGGGCACCGCTGAGAGTGTTCGTTCAGGGCAAATTGCTCAAAACCAGGGCTACATACTGCCCAGGCTTGAGGTCCTCCCTATAAGGCACCAACCAGTCACACAGAGCACTTCAGCTGCTAATCGGGCCAGCAAAACCCCTTTTTCGACAGATCTGCGTCTAGACTACCGTTTTTTTTAAAAAGCTCCGTTTCGGAAAAAAAAGTGGCGGCCATGTTTATGCTAATGAAGCACAGGATATTTAAATCCCTGCTTCATTAGCAATTTCGACGTGCCTACTCTACATCTTTCTGTTGACAGAGAAGTGTCGTCTAGTCGTAGCCTTTATGTTTTACCCACTTTCATGACATGTTTTGAGGTCAGTAGATGAAAAGTTGTGATTATTATCACGGAGTCACAATTTGCAATGCCGTATCTATTGTTGACAGTGTCTTGAATTTCCCACCTTCCTCTGCTCAAAAATCCTGCCTAGTGAAATAAAAAAGAGTAGGAAAAACAATTTTCTGATCTGCTCGGGGCTCTTTGTTTCCTTTCCACGGAATCTCAGAAATCCCGGTGAGGTTTGCAAAGAAACTAGAAGCTGTCGGTGCCGAGATTGGAGGGACCATCTCTCTGAGCTGTGAGCTGAGCCAGGTGAAGGGCGATGTGCGGTGGTACAAGAACGGGGTTGAAGTCAAGCCCAGCAAGCGATTCCAGATTCGTGAGGATGGAGCCAAGCGGGTCCTGACCATAATGGGGCTCCGGGCAGAAGATGAGGGAGAGTATATCTGTGAATCCCGGGATGACAAGAGCAGCGTTCAGGTCACCCCCAAAGGTACCTGGCCAGAGTCATGACATGATATATGACACCCCACTGTCTTCTCCTTCCATTCCATTGTTCATGGGCTGCATTAAAAGCATCCTGCCTGTGTTAAAAGGGCAGAGGACATTGCTTACATGCAGAAATATGTCTTATAGCTGGGGAAATAAGAACTCGCATCTTGCATTTAATGCACTGAGAACGTGATTGCCATTCTGAAAAAGAAATGCAACATATACTGATCCCTAGGAAAGATCTATACATTGTATGAATTCTTGTTGATGGTTTCTGTTTTTTCCCTCGTTGTAATATGGAAATGTGCAGAAGAATCCTTTGGTGCTCAAATATAACCAAAATCCATTGATCTTCTGCAGGCGCGGATGAGAGTGCCGCGGTGCCCAGGGCAGCGCTGCGGGGCCCCGGGCAGCAAAATTTCGCGGGGCCCCCCCCTTTGACACAGTGCATGCACCGTGGTGCCAAGGCGCATGCGCGGGGCCTCGGTAAGTTAGGGGTAAGTTAGAGCTAAATCACAGCACAGAACACTGAGAGCCAAGACTGATGTCTGTAAACAAACTTTATGGGAAACTTGGCCACACTCAGGATAAGCGGACATCCAGCTAATTAACATGAAACCGGGCCACAGATGTTGCCAGACGAGAGAGTTCTGGAGTAGAGAGGTTCAGCCTGTAGCAGTAGGAGTATTATATGGGTTTAGTATGGGTTGATTATATTGCCCCCTGCTGGAGGCTGCCACAGAGATATAACTTGCTGCTTATGCAGCATTAATCAAGTTGCAATTTTATCTCCCACAGTGGAGCCCTTTGATTTTGGTGGTGAAGGTCCCGGGCAGTGTTTCCTGTAAGCCATGCGCTTGTGTGGCTGCTCAGGAGAGATTCAAATGTTGCCCAGATGATTAGCAGAGCACCTGCAGCTGGGGGTTTTGTTTCTCCTAGTGGTGCACGTTCACACATGCCTTGGTGCACATACTATTTTATTCTGCACCTGGATGGAAAAAGCTGCACATGGCTGGAAAAGATTAGAAGGAACATCGGTCCCAGGCTCAGTTGCTACTGACAACCTTCACATGAGTAGATGCGAAGCCACAGTTTGTTCCATTCCCATGTCCACTTTAAAGTCCAAATTATTTGTGATCCTTAAAAAGTCTCCTCCTAGGATCTAACCGGAACTCTGGCAGTTTAAAAGGATGTTCAGATTCTTCATGTGGATGTTCCTTTTCAACCAATTTCATAGTTACTGACGGGTGACTCTGCTACCTTCCTGCAAAAACAGGGAAGGTTCTTTTGGCAAGGAATGTTGTTGTGACTTTGAGACAAACTCAGGGTGTTGGCTGTGATAGGTCATGGCCGTGTTGGCCCTGATAGTGAGGCTGGGAGTAAGGATCCTAAAGGTAGATCCAGGATTTTCCCTTCCATGCTTGCTCCAATCCTAGAGTGGCACCTCCATGTATAAAAATTGGACAGTAAATAAATAAAGATTGCCTATCTCCTAGAATGGACCTTGAAAGATCATTGAGTCCAGTCCCCTGCCTCCACAGCAGGACCAAGTACCATCCCTGACAAATTTTTGCCCCAAATGGCCTCTGCCTCCACAAGGATTGAACTCACAACCCTGGGTTTAGCAGGCCAATGCTCAAACCACTGAGCTAGCCCTTCCCCCCATAGCAAGATGTAACGTGACTATGTCAACAGCCCTGATCGGCTCCCCACCACCACTCCCAGTACATCCCACCTATGGGCAGCCCCACCGGGTCAGTGCTGCCTTCTCCTTTTCCTCCTGCCCACTGTGACCAGCTCTCTCAGTGGGAGACACTGGAGGGGGAAGCATGGGTGTGACCGGCTCAGTGGAGAAGGTAGGAAGTGGCAGAATGCTAGGGGACAGGGTGGAAGGGGACAGCACGTAGGGCAAAGCTGGGGGTTGAACAGTGAGCACTCTCCAGCCAAGTGGAACGTTGGCACCTCTAGCTCCATCCCTGGATTTGGTACCTGTGCAAGGAGCCGCATATTAACTTCTGAAGAGCCGTATGTGGCTCTGGAGCCACAGACTGGCCACTCCTGCTCTTGACCGATCTGCTTTCTGGTGGTGCTTGCAGGTTGGGTATTGTCATGTCCGTGCTATAATGTCCCCTCCTTCTCTGCCAGCTCCTAGAGTGGTGAAGTTCCTGACCAGCCTTCGCAGCATGGTGTCCGAAGAAGGGAAGGAGGCCACATTCAAATGCACCGTCTCCCCCAACGACGCTGTGGTGACCTGGCACAGGAACGGCGTCCAACTCGAAGCTAGCCAGAAATACGTGATCTCTCAGAAGGCCACCAACCACAGCCTCACCATCACTGACCTGACCCAGGAGGACGCAGCAGAAATCTCGGCCAACGCAGAGGGTGTGGAAAGCAAAGCCACCCTCACGGTCCGTGGTAAGATCCCTTTGACTGGCTCGAATCCCACTGTGGGATGTGTTGTTTGTAGGTTTCTTTTATTGACTTTCTGGCTCTGGCAATGGGGATGAAAAACACATGGGGTCCATATCTTAGAATAACGCCCAGGACGCTCCAGGACTGGCAATGCTGCTTCTGCGCACATGGTTTTTCCCCAGCTTTGATTTCCCTGGGAGCCCCTGGTTTAAACTTTATAGCCAGCTTTCTGGAGTCACTTCACTTTTACTCTTGTCTCCTCTCATGTGCCAGAGGCGCCGGTGACTTTCACGAAGAAACTGGAGCCCAGAACGGTTGAGGAGAGGGACACGGTCACCCTAGAGGTGGAGCTGAGCAAGCCTTCCATGGAGGTGAAATGGATGAGGAACAGCATTGTGCTGCAGCCCGGTGGCAAAGTGGAGATCAAGGCGGAGGGGACAAAACACAGCTTGACGATTAAGGACGTCACCTTGGCAGACCGGGGCTTCTATTGCTGCGAGACGCTCGAGGACAAGACCCAGGCCAAGCTGAACGTGGAAAGTAAGCGGGTGTCGAGCGCTGCCGCGAATGGCTTTGGGAGGGCAGGCCTGTCCTCTGGGTGTGCTGCCAGTCGGATGGCTGGCTGATTGGCAGTTTGTTCTTCCTGCCTCCTTCTGTTGTCTCCAATGGCCACAGTCCCCTGTCTATTGGCTTGACTCCCCTTCACCATTATACCCTTCTCCCCTCCTATTTCCTCACCCCTTTCCACTCTGTCTTTTGCCCCCTGCATTTCCTCCGATACAACCCTTCCTCTTCCATGTCTCGCCTCCCTTCCTGGCAGTATCTCCCCACAAACAGCTCTTGAAATGCAATTGACATGAAAATAATAAATCCCCTACCCTCAAGGGTGCAAGTATTCAGGTAAACTAACGATCTTCCCTTTCCTCTGTAACTTCTGTAACTCAACCTTCTTCCCCATATGCCATTTGTCTTCGTTGTAATGTCACCTCTTCATTTAGAGTATGATGTTATTCCGAAATAACCAAGAGCGTGTCTATGCAGCCAGCCGTTATTTCGAAATAATGTCGAGCTGGAGGACTTCTTACTCCGACTCCTGTAGCCTTCATTTCATGGAGTAAGGGAAGTCGAAGTTGAATGTTCTTCCCTTTGACTTCCTGCTGTGTAGGCTGCGCCAAAAGCCAAATTAGGCTATTTTGGCTTCATCTAGACAATTGATGTAGCTGAAGTTGCGTAGCTTAAGTCGAGTTTTGCCCTGCTGCGCAGACGTGCCCTTAGGTAGCATGTGCTTCAAAGCAAGGATCTGTCCAGTTTTGTCTGTGAAGCGCCAGTCACAATTTGGGTGCTATATAAATAATATATAGGCACCCTTTGAATATCTAACAGACGGAGAGAGGGTTAAAGAGGCTGAGCTCTTCAGTGGAGAGCCAGAGCTGCATTTCAACTTCCAAGTTGTGGTCAGTTTGGAGATGATGTCCTGGCTCATGTCTGTCTCTAGTGTGCGTAGAGGAGATCCATGGTATCCAAAGAGTTCAGAAATCTGCTTAACAGGACCAGAAGCCTCATGACACTTACCTGGCTTTGAATTTTGTTAATAATCACTGCTCAGACGATCTCTGTGGAAAGACTGAAAACCTTGGGGGTGAGTTTTAGAACATAAGAATGGCCAGATTGGGACAGACCAATGGTCTGTCCAGCCCGTATCCTGTCTGCCAATAGTGGCCAATGCCAGAAGCCCCAGAGGGAGGGAACACAACAGGTAATCCTCATGTGATCCTCCCCTGTCACTCACCTCCAGAAAAACAGAGGCTAGGGACACCATTCCTGACTAATAGCCATTGATGGACCTAACCTCCATGAATCTGTCTAGCTCTTTTTTGAACTGTGTGAAAGTCCTGATCTCCACCACATCCTCTGGCAAGGAGTTCCAGAGGTTGACTGTGCCTTGAGTGAAGAAAAACTTCCTTCTGTTTGTTTTGAACAGACCCAGGCCAGTTTATGGCTTTGCGGTGAAATCCTCTGACGTGTGTGGATTTCAGCGGTTTCAGTATAAAGCTGGGCGAAGTCCAGTCCTGTGGAGCTTTGGGCTTTGTTCAGATCCAGCTGTCAGAGGTTGCCAATGCAACTAGATCAGAAGCAAAGCAGCTGCTGTGAAACATCTGGTAGGCGCCAGGCCTGAGAGCTAGTGGAGATCCCAGTTTTAAAGTATGAGGCTTGCCAAGCGTATCCGGGATTGGGAGACATCCAGCTATGACTGGCCCTTAGCATGAAGAAGTCTTGTCTGAATCTGTGGCTTAGTTCTCTGAAACCACCCGCCTCTAGCAACAAAAGCACTGACTTCCCGGCCTCTCTGGGCCTCGCTCGTTCTGTACAGGGTAGGGATAGACACTCACTAACCCCCGGGTGCTCCAAGCATGTCACTGGAGAGCCCCGCCCCTGAGCTCCTGGAGGATGCCGGAACGCCCCAGCCTGTAAGGCTCAGCTCAGTGTGATCATCTCATTTGGATTTTCTGGGTTAGCTGGGATTGTTCACATCCATCACGTGACATTTACGCTGTTTTTGGCTGGGTGAACACAGGGGAGAGAACAGCCAGGCTGGGCCCCCGGGCAACGGGGAAAGACGGGGTGGAGCCTTGGGCAGAAGGGGCGAGACCAGAGGCGGACAGCCCTCAGAGCTGCTCAAAGCACGACACACCCCCTACAGACCCTTGAGACACGGTCAGACCGCACCACACCCCCTCTAGCCCCTAGAGCCGCTCGGAGCGCAGCGCACCCCCTCCGGCCCCGAGAGCCGCTCGGAGCGCAGCGCACCCCCTCCGGCCCCGAGAGCCGCTCGGAGCGCAGCGCACCCCCTCCGGCCCCGAGAGCCGCTCGGAGCGCAGCGCACCCCCTCCGGCCCCGAGAGCCGCTCGGAGCGCAGCGCACCCCCTCCGGCCCCGAGAGCCGCTCGGAGCGCAGCGCACCCCCTCCGGCCCCGAGAGCCGCTCGGAGCGCAGCGCACCCCCTCCGGCCCCGAGAGCCGCTCGGAGCGCAGCGCACCCCCTCCGGCCCCGAGAGCCGCTCGGAGCGCAGCGCACCCCCTCCGGCCCCGAGAGCCGCTCGGAGCGCAGCGCACCCCCTCCGGCCCCGAGAGCCGCTCGGAGCGCAGCGCACCCCCTCCGGCCCCGAGAGCCGCTCGGAGCGCAGCGCACCCCCTCCGGCCCCGAGAGCCGCTCGGAGCGCACCGCACCCCCTGCGCCCCCAGAGCCGCTCAGAGCGCACCGCACCCCCTCCAGCCCCCAGAGCCACTCAAAGCGCACAGTGCAGCACTCCAGCAGTGATTTAAAGGGCCCTGGGTGCCCCCCTCAGCCCTCAGAGCAGCACTGAGTGTGTGCTCCAACGGTGATTTAAATGACCCAGAGCAGCATTGGCTGGGAGCCCCCAGCCCCTTTGAATCGCCGGGCCCTGGAGCAACTGGCCCCTTTTCACACACCCCATTGGTGGGCCTGGCTGGAGGGTGTCTGCTGAGAACTTGCTCCATTGGTTGAGTTGGCGTTTCTGCTAATCCCGTCCCCTCCTGCCCATGCCCAGCCATCTCAGCGCATTCCCGGTTTGAGGAGCTAAAGTATCTGCTGCACCGGACGAAAGGTCATCGCTGCAGCAGGCCCGTTGGATTCTTTGGAAGCATCTTTCAGCTCAAAGGCGGAGACGCCAGAGAGGCGGAAGGGGATTGCTATAAACTTAGATAGGGAGTCAACGCCTACGGCAGCCCGAGAGGACAGGGACTTCAGAATCTGGTTCTGACAGGGCAGGCAACTGGTGGTGTCTGTTCTCCTCTCGTTGGGCATGTGCCAAGGATGTCCTTGGGGACAAATCTTGCCTCTGTCTCCCAGGCTCTGGAAGAGATGCCTTGGCAGAGGAACCAATGGCGTTTCACGGGATGGGGAAGGAGTAAGATGTAGACGGTTGTTGTGGGCGGTGCCTCTCCCCTGTGCGACACAGAAACCTTCAGTGTGGAGGAGCTGTGTGGAGACACAGGATCCATTGCCAGAGGGATCTTTCGCTTTCTTCCTGAGGCGGAAGGGGTTGTGGGCGCACAGAACTAGCTAGGCCTTGTTTCTGAAGCAGCACCAAGGAGCCATCCCATCCCTGCTCTGGAGCCTGTGGCGGACGAGTCCCTCCCTCGAGGGATGGGCACGGGCAGGAGAGTTTGAGCCCTGGAGCAGAGAGGGGACACCTAAGAGCAGGCCCCACGTCACAGCCATGGAGCCCAGCACCGATGGGCGCGCCTAATAATGCTTGACGATCCATCTCCAGACCGGAACTGCGTGGTGTGGGTTCATCCCTTCTGAAGAGGCATTCGGAGGCTGGACTATTCTCAAGTCAGCCTTGTGAGGTTTAAGGTCTCAGGAGTGTTTCCTGGTTTTACTGAAGCTAAGCATCCTAATTTTTTTTTTTTTTTTTTGGTAATTTAATCCATTTTGAAGGGTGATTCCATTTGAAATACTAAATCGACCTTTCATGGAGGAGGCTGTTGGTGCTATGTATTCGGGGTAGGAAAAACTCCCCAAAAGTGAGGCTGGTGCCAGTGGATATTCCAGGCACTATTCTGCATGAGGCTTTTTATAGAAGAACTTTTCACTCCTTCCTTTCCCTGCTGTTTTCACCCCTTTGTTCCTCCTGTTTGGAATGCCAACTAGCAAGGACTCTTTGTTCCTTGTGCCCCCCCATCTGTCTGCTGTCTCGACCTATTGTCTCTCGTTTTGTACATGGCCTCTAAACCATGGGCCGCGGGTATGCTAGGCGGGGGAAGGCTCTGCCTTCCCAAACCGCCAGCCTGACCCCGCCCACACTCTGCCCCCAGAACGCTTACCGTTTGACAGGAGGCCCGGATATGCTAGCTCACAGTGACCCTGGATGGCTGTAAACAGAGATACGCCAATTGTTGACCTCAAGGCTGCGAGAACTGCCTTGGCTGGCACCTATATTGATATGAACACACAGCCGTCCGGGGGGGGGGGGGGGGGGGAGAAATCTTGATCCATGTCAGAGGCGTCCAGTCACTACTGCCGTACAAATAAATAACAAACATTCCCTTCTCTAGGGCATCTGGTCCTGGTGTCAGTGACTTCTCTTGTGTGTCTGAAACAAAAGACAGGACGATGTAGCACTTTAAAGACTAACAAGATGGTTTATTAGGTGATGAGCTTTCGTGGGCCAGACCCACTTCCTCAGATCAAACAGTGGAAGAAAATTGCCACAACCATAGACACCAAAGGATACAATTAAAAAAATGAACACATATGAAATATAAAGTGCTCCCTAGTCCTGTATTTTGTTTCAGCTACACCAGACTAACACGGCTACATTTCTATCACTATTCTCT